TCCGCGAAAGACAAAAGAGCAAAAACCGATTCGGTTAAAAAAAAATTTAGTTCACAAGTTTGATGCAAACTCATTCCGCGGCACAAACGCCAATCCAACCCTAGTAATCTATGAGGAGATCGTTAAACAGGAACCACAAAGTGCGTTATTCAGAATTAATCAATCGTAAGGCTAGCAAAAAAAACATCCTTCAATGTGTCAAAAATACAAGGCCCCTCTGCCTCGAGAAGAAGAAGAGTTACGTACGACTACTTCCGCTTTAGTACGGCTCAACCCGGCTGCGTGACGTCAACTGGCTCTCTAGAAATCAAGCCATCCGGCAACGGCTGTCTAGTGGCGCAGGAAAGTATTCCCGGTCTTCCCGCTTAAGGCGATCTTTTCCTTGTCGTGCACCTCCTGCTCCGTGTTGAGATAGTTGAAAGATCCCGAGACCGCTCCGCTCATGCCGCCGCCCAGAGTGCGACTGCAGAAACAGAAGCAATCAATATTATTTTTCGGACTTTCTGTGATAGAGCGCAAGGAAAGGTATCTGAAAAAACAGGTATGTTTGCTTGTTTATTTTTTACAAGTATATTATCATTAAAGCACGATATTTTATCATTTTTTTCAATTTTCGCTCGAATAATCGGAATACGTATCTGTACATGAACGTGACGAGTTACACAGCAGTATCTACGGTATAATCTCTGGCCGTCGAATAACAGAAAATTTTGTTTCGAGAATGACCCTTTGACTTTGCGATAGAAGTGATTTTTGATTATAGAATATCGCAGTTTCGGAAGTAAAAGAAATTTTGAATTTTTAAAATTCGCTCCAGTATTGTAAAATTCTGTACGCGTGGTATCAGTTTGCAGGCCAGCACTAATTTTTACTGCATTTAACTGTGTTAAAAACTTTGATTTCGGTCGGTATTTCAATATCAGTACAAACGAGAATAACAATTAGAGAAAGTCGAAAAATCCCTCGCCCGTGCGCTGATCGTTAACGCGAGTAGTACTTAATAATTTTGAAAAATAATAATCATTAGCGCACAGAAACAGCATTTTTCTACGTTCTGTGATTGTTACGTTGTACGTTGTTCCTGCTACTAAATGCAACAATGTGTATGTAGTTCTTCGTATGCAATTTTGCGTTAAAATTACGTATTCCACTGCTTGAAATTTCAAAAAAATAACTCGTAAAAGAAAATCTATTATTTGAAAATTTATGTATTCATAGCTGCACGTGAAAGTGGTTCCGTATTGTTCGTCGCGTTGATAGGGAATTTTCCGGTTTCCGTTGTATGGAATTTTAATGCTGTGTTTTAATTTACCCAGGTGTTTACGGTGAAGTTTGATGCGGATTAGAGCGGCGGAGACGTTGAATTCCACAAGGAAGCGACCGATCAGGCCACTGCGAGCCAAGAAAGCGAAGGCGAGATGGAATGGGAGGCCAAGCACGACGAGGAGGAAGCCGAGAATGACGACCAATTGGGCCAAAAAGCCATGGATCAGCCAAGCGGAGCCGCAGCTGACAAGTGAGTATGCCGCTTTTCAATTTTTTCGGTGTAACAGGCAAAATAACATTTGCAAACGTTTTAATACAGTATTTAATACTTTAATTTAATGAATGTTAATATTTAACAATACGTGTTAATATGAAATGAAGAATGAAATACTTAATTAAAATATCATGATTCAGTTACGTAATTTACATTGGATTTTTTATTGTCAAAAGTCTGGTTATTGCTATGCTAAAATAATTATGCTTGGAAATAATTTCGTAAAAATTCGACATTTGTTTTTAATTTTTTTGACTTAATCTCGTAAATTCGTTTTTGTGTATCTGCTTTCCTTGCGCTCTATCACAGAAAGTCCGAAAAATAATATTGATTGCTTCTGTTTCTGCAGTCGCACTCTGGGCGGCGGCATGAGCGGAGCGGTCTCGGGATCTTTCAACTATCTCAACACGGAGCAGGAGGTGCACGACAAGGAAAAGATCGCCTTAAGCGGGAAGACCGGGAATACTTTCCTGCGCCACTAGCGGAGCAGCCGTTGCCGGATGGCTTGATTTCTAGAGAGCCAGTTGACGTCACGCAGCCGGGTTGAGCCGTACTAAAGCGGAAGTAGTCGTACGTAACTCTTCTTCTTCTCGAGGCAGAGGGGCCTTGTATTTTTGACACATTGAAGGATGTTTTTTTTGCTAGCCTTACGATTGATTAATTCTGAATAACGCACTTTGTGGTTCCTGTTTAACGATCTCCTCATAGATTACTAGGGTTGGATTGGCGTTTGTGCCGCGGAATGAGTTTGCATCAAACTTGTGAACTAAATTTTTTTTTAACCGAATCGGTTTTTGCTCTTTTGTCTTTCGCGGACGGTATAAATGTAATAATCCGAATAATAATAAATTTTGTTACGATGTGTCGATTCGTATCCACCTAATAATTCCGGTTCGCTGCGAGTTCGGGACAAACTGCCCATCGACAATACCGTATTTAGCTGTACGAGCATTATATTTATTTGAAATTTATCATTTAAAATTTTTTTGCCATAATAGCAGCGCATTAATTCTTAGAAATGCCTGTTTGACGTGGTGTTGCAGAATGAAGCAGCCCCAGGCAATCGGTCAAACTGAAAATTCGCCATGTTTATTAAATCTTATTAAACCGTATTAAATTTTATGCAAGTGCTGCGCGCTAAATTTTATGTAAGTGCGCGCCCATCAATCATCCAGAGTTATCCAGTTAACTCAAAATTTTTCACGAAAATCTCCCAATAAATTACTTTCAGCCAAGACAAACAAACATTAAACAAAGCTGAAACAGAAAAAAAAACGAAAACCAGATAAACAGAAAGCAACCAAACTGACCAATGGCCAAACACATCCACCCGGCAGGTTTCATTACAAATCCGGAAGCGCAGACTGTTCTCCATCAGAGAAATCATTCAAACGGTTTTTTATACTCGACGTCACACCATCGTGAAAACAATTATACCGACTACAAAAAAGCAAAAATACCCTCTTATTCCCACTCCGTCGTCCCCGGCGGTTTGCAGGTCAGGTCGTAGACAACGCGCGACACCCCGCCCACATCGCTTATGGCACTCACCATATCCAGTATCGTCTGCAAAAAACCATAGAAAATTAAAATTGAACTGAAATTTTAGTTTCGGCGTCTGTTGGATTCAGTAAACAATATACCAAAATTCAAATTAATTTCATAACAAATCTTCGAAAACAAGCATGTTCCGACAAACTCACATTCCTCTGAAAACCACAACCGTCGCACAGTCGAACTACAAATAATCGCAGCCGAAAACAATTCAAGTTTTTCGTGCGAATCATAATTTTAAAAAATCAGATTTTTCAACGAAAATAAAACAAAATAAAACCGATAAAATTATTCAAAAATCAAATCGGGTTTTTCTGAAAACCCTTTTTGTCGCCAAATCGAGCCACAATTAAAACCACAAGAAAAAATTAAAAAAAGAAACCACAAGAAATTTTTAGTTCTGCAAGAAAATATGTTGAAAAAATAAATAATAAAATTAGCGAAACCAATATATATCTACTACTATCCCGATAATTTTCTCACGAAAACTAGCGTTGCGAACTTACACTTTCGGGTAGGTGTACATCGGGTACAGCGGCAATCCCTGTCATGAAATCATTGGTGATGAAGGGCCGCAGCACCACCGAATGCTGCCGTCCGGCGTAATTGGGATCCACCGTGTCCACGTCGAACACGACAGGAATGAGTATTACCGGCATCTGAGCAACTGCATTGTAGTGTCCACTCTCCCATAATATCTGCCATCACACAAAAAATCCCATAAAACAAATATATTAGCGTTCTGGTACAAAAAAAATCATTTTCATAAATACAGTAATTATTTCGCAAGTCCGTATAAAGCACGATATACGAGTACAGTATATTGATCGTTGCAGCAATCTGCGAAGCAAATGTTCATATAGGATGCATGCCCTTACACTACGCTCGCCCTTACACTACGCTCTCGCCTAGTAATACCCACCTCATCACAAGTAAAGAATATCAAAGACATAAACTGTTTAAAAGCGAAACAAACTCACACAGAATTCTGCTGCAGTAATATACTAAATTTTAAAATCTGGTATTCAGAAGAATTCGCAACTTTAACATCTTCGCAGTGCGCGACCGCACTTCGTACCGTTTGAGCACGTGAATCAATTTCCTGCAGTTTGGCCACGACATGTTGCGGCAGGAGCGTCGTCTCGGTGATGAACTCGATCTCGTGTTCGACGCGCGACCCGAACACGTACACCACCCGGCTGATCTGCTCGCAAATGCGCGGGATAATTTCGGCTAAACGGAACAGCACTTTCCAAGGGATCTTGCCGGTTTCCAGCTCCATCGACAGGGCGGCCACATGCTTGAACGATCGACCATCGCCCTGCAAATGCAAACGTAGTGCAATGGAAAAAACACCAAAGTTGATCTCACCAAACTCAGCTCCAAAATTCGTACGTCGGGAGAAAAAATCATCCGAAGTAACTTCAAATTTTTTAAAATTTAATTCACCGCAATAAATTGTTTAAAAAACATTAACATACAATAAAATGCCTCTAAAATTATAGGAATTTACATTTTTTAGTCTAACACGACGGGTAGCATAAAACTTTCAAACAAGAGGATCTCTTTATCATTTAAATTTTTATTTATTTCAAACAAACTGACTTCATTTTCACTTGTTTCACTTTATGTCAAACGTGTTTATTTTCATCAAGTTTTGTACACAATTCTGCAACTTTTCGTCTGATGTGCACTGACCTGAACGCCAACGGAGCGGATGGGAAGCACATGTCCGGCAATATTGTAGTCACTGGCCTCGGTTAGAAAGTCGACTTCTTCTTTTGTCAGGGTTGCCCTGACGCTATCATGCATAACTGACAACTGGAAAAAATGCCTTCTGTTTTACCGTTTTAAATTCTGTTGAAACACGATGGTAACTTACGTGCCACACCGGTTTGGCAAAGGAACAAATTATTCGCAATAACATCACAGTCTTATCATAATCCCGGCCACGATACGGCTCCGTAGCGCATATCACCCGCACCGCTAATCCCGGACCTACAAACATTTTTATATACGTAAAGAAAACCTTCTACAAGAAAGAGGCCTAAAAACTGTTGGTGCTCAGGGAGAGCGCTAATACTCAATGCATTTTAGATCACTAATATATCTATAGTTTCTTTGATCCGCTGAAATTTTCCTTGTACAACTATTGAATAAGTACAGTCTGCGGCAGTGAATACAGTAATTAAAGAATCACTGTAAACGGCAAAAGATAGTCAAGACCGTATACTATTCCGATTTCCGAATATGGAAAAAGGAACATAAGGCTGTTAAACGTATTTTGAAACCAATGAAAAGGCAACGGAAAGAAAACAACGGGGCGTAAATTTTCCACTACTCTACACCAGATCACATTTAACATCAGATCCAAGTTCCAACACGCAGAAGCAAATACCAAATAACTCGATTTTTCGTTGAACATTTTAAAATTTGATCTTTTGCGCTATACAAAACATCAGCGTAGAAAACCATCTTATAGTAAAGTTGTAAACGAATTTACGAAGAAAAATAGAAAAAGAAATTATTCGGAAGGTCCTTTTAACAAAATCGGAAAAACACCGATTTTCTCATGAACTCTGAAAGTTATCTGGTTCGATCAACTAGTACAGAGCAAGCAATCAAAACCAGCAATATATAAAACTTTAGGTCATTTAAAACAAATATTTTCTGTAAAGAAAAGTAAATAATATGAAAAGGTACAGGTATAATACTTCAGGGTGATTTTATTTCAAGTTTCAGGTACCGAATTTAACAAAATCACCGAGTCGTCAAACTTTCTTTCAAAATCCATTTGCTTCTTGTTTTAAAATTAAACCGTCGATTTTTACCCGGAAAAGGATGTCGCATAACGAGAACTTCCGGTAAACCGAGATCCTTGCCCAATCGGCGCACTTCATCTTTGTGAAAGTCCTTTAAGGGTTCGATAACACGACCCTGCCGGAAAAATTCAATTAATTTCTTCTCCAATTTTAAAATAAATTTCGCGGAAAATGCGCGCCACGCGGGCATACTTTATTCCGCAGATCGCGTACGAAATCGGTGTCATTATGATGGGTTTTAATGGCCTCGGCGTGCTGACTGGCAAGCTTCGACGAACTTTCTATTAAATCCGGACGCAACGTGCCTGAAAAAATGCAACATCGTAAAATTCAACCATCATTAATTTTTTAAATTCATTAGCGACAAAGAGCAAAAAATTAACGAAAACATTCACTCCAAATGCATTCGTGTGTAAATCGTCGAATTTATTCATTTCGGTCGACAACCCTTATATCCACTGCACTCCGAAACACACCTTGACACACGAGCACATCCGCTTCCACTAGTTTCAATTCTTCCCGGATGACATGATTGGTCACCTGCGCAAAAGTTACAAATGAATTTTTTCCCGATAAATATATTGTCCAAAGTGTTCCTTACCTCCATGAAAGTATCACCAATAATTTTCCGCTTCTCCTCAGGATCCACAGTCTCCATGAGAATCGGCGAAATGTACGCGCCGCCGTCGGTCGGATCGTCTAAACGGCGCCGGCGTGCATAGCGGAAACGATCACTACAATTGCGATCTGCGGCAAACAAAAGATTCAGACTCAGCATAATTAAATTTAAAAAAATTTCAATTCTACCGGTCGGAGAATTTTTCTAATTTTATGTCTCGCATTAAGAATAAGTAAAGCCATAAAAAATATAAATAAGAAAACCAATTCCCAGTTTGCGCAAAAATCACCAAAATAAACGGAACTCACATTCCACCTGAATGCCCAGCTTGCTCAGCTGCTCCATGACGTTCTTGGACTCGTCTTTCCGCATAAATCCATTGTTTATGTGCAGAACGATCAGCTGATCAGGGGGAATACATTTCCGTAAAAGGGCCGCACAGACGGTACTGTCCACTCCGCCACTGGCCAGGAGCTGTCAAAAACAGACATCCATCCAGCGCTTTAACCACATATCTCTTAACTGACAATTTGTTTCGCAAAAATAATTATCTTTCTGTGTGTACACCTGTATTTATGTCAGTCATGTACTTCAAAATTCATGCTAACAACAAACACACAGTTTTCTTTACACATAAAAAAATTCCCAAAAAAAAGGTAATGCTTCCTAAATAAATCGAGACATTTTTCAACAGCCTGATTAGAAATGGAGTTAGAACTACTTTACAACTACTCTGTAGGTCAACTATAACAATTTATTTCCGTTAATTCTGGTTTGCCCTGGGAATCTGTACATTTTACTCCTACAAAGCTGTGACCGAACGGTCTCGTTTACTGACACAAAAACGTAGCCAAGTGGCACAGTCCAAAAACAATTCCGAGTTGTATCACGCAAGCCACATTTGGTTTAAATCAATCATTACGTAAATTAATATTCATAAAATTAAATTTTTCTATAAACGCTATCCACCAGCACTGAGGTTTTCCACAATTGCATTTAAGATTTTATTATAAGATCCAGTAATTCTAACACCACATGAACATTCACCTAAAGGTTCAACTGTTATCGTGATTCTGGCATACGTAATACGTACTGTATATTGCGAAAATGTTTACAGATTTTTTAACCATCCGACTTACCAGTACTTTTTTATCACGCACGGTACTGCGGATGAACTTGACCAACTCCTCCTCGCGGTTCTGCATGATGAAATTCGGCCGGATACCGGAAATGCGGAAAAGGAAATTCTTAAAAATCTCCATCCCGTTGGTGGTCAAATCCACTTCCGGATGGAACTGGACACCGTATTTTTTGCGCTTTTCATTCGACACACCTGGGATTCATAAGATTTTTATGAAGATAAATTTGGTTTAGTTGTAACAGCTTTCCTATAGTTTCCTTCAGCTCTTACCGACTACGAGGTTGTCAAATTTGGCAATCACATTTAACTCCGGCGGAACTTCAATGACCGAATCACCATGTGTCAATAAAACATGCTGCAACGGATTCATTCCCCTACAAAAACAACCATCACAATTCGTCAACCCAGCTTGTCGAATTCATCATAATCTCTCTTGAGAGTTTCTATATAAAAACTAAAAATCATACCGCACATTGCCAAAGACAATCACAATTTCGTAAAATTACTTAATTTCGAAGTCCGGACAGCCGTTTACAAAATCAAAGAAAGACCAATCAACGAGATAGCGTCGCTCAAACAAAGAGAATTTTTTCTAAAGAGCATCACACAATAATAATAAGATTAAAAATGGAATGACCGCAAACTAATGACGCAGGAACAACTGCTGTTTTGAACACCCTATACAGTCAGTATTTGGAAAATCAATAACAAGCCACAAGTCTGCGACAAACCGCTGCACTACGATGTTAACAATGTTATCGTACCTTTTTAAATCAGCGAAAACAAGAACTCCGTATGTGAAATGTGAATTACGATTTAAAACAAAATTTCGACAGGAAATATTCTTAACCAAAAAACACAAAAATACTATTTTGAATTTCACTTTTTTAAACTAACTGAAAAGCATTTTATCACAGGTACAGCTTTGCGATAGCCACAGAACTTTTTCGGGGTCACGCGAACCCCTGCACCACGATATTAACCACGTTACCGTATCTTTTCAAAGCAGCGACAACAGAAAAGCAGCGAAAACTGCATCTTCCCATAAAAATTACAATTTAAAACATTCCAAAATTTCGGCAGTAAATAATTTCAGGCGAAAAGCAGCAAATAACTATCTGCTAGCTTAACACTTTCCGGATTTCTGTATTCTTGTACATACTTGAACAGCGCACTACTGGGCTCCACCAGGATTTCCGTCTGTCCATCGTTGCGGCGTTGGGTTTTGGCCACGGTGCCACCGCAGGCTTTATTCAGCAGCTGAAACCCGTAGCAAATGCCCAGGACAGGCAAATTACTGGTAAACAACTGGCTGTCGTAGGTAAGCGCGTTGGTCGCATACACCGACTGTGGTCCACCGGAAATGATGACCGCCCTGTCGAAAACATTGCATCTTCACTCGAACCTATGCAAACACGATGCTGGAGAGCTTACTTGAACTTCCGCTCCAATAAGACGGAGAGCGGCGTCTCCAGCGGGAGGATTTCTGTGTAGACGTTCAGTTCGCGTACACGACGGTCAATCACCTAGAAACTCGTACCCATTAGCATCACGCAGCTGGGCAAATTGTTTCGAATTTACATTTCCACCAGTTTAGTCGTTTAGAATCGTTAAACAACCAACGCTAGCAGAAAAGCGATAAAAAGAATGAAATTTCGTCCTTCTTGCCGTGCAAACAGCAGAAAACATAACTTCAAAAATTTCCAAAAACTAAAAAATAACAAAAAAACAGACTGCATACCTGCATACGACAAAACAAGTACAAGTCAATAAACACTTGATACAAAAGTCAATAAAAGCAAAATAAAACAAAATCAACCGAACAAATCAGAGTTATGATTTGCGAAATACAAACTCTGTTTTTCGAACTCTTCGGCAGAGCTAATTCATGCCTTACTTTTACCAAAACATTGTGGTTTCTTTAACAAACTCAAACCAACATTTTAGGCATTCTTTCAAACAATAAACAAAAATTTTCGGAATTTTTTCTCCAGGGACAGAGTAAGAAACCAAAAACCCCGAATGCTAACGAAATGGCGGAAATGCTTCGAAAATCCAACTCTTCACCATTAAATCCAAATCCAAACCTTTTCGCATTTTACCCTTATCAGAAAGTTGGAATTTAATAAAAAAGTTAAGCCAATTTTATAGAAATTCTTTTAAATAGTAAACAAAATTTTTCGGATTTTTTCTCGAAGGAAAGATCGAGAAACCAAAAAATTCGAATATATTCGAATCATGCCTGCCGTACCTTGCCATACTGCGCGCCCGCATCGAGAATGGCCACCTTATCCAGATCGGGATGCACGGACGTCCCGTTGCCGTTCAACGGGCCACTGGCCGCATGCGGGAGGCCCGGCACCACATGTTCATCGCTGGGGACCATCTTGGCTGCCATCGCGGCTGGCGTCAGTGTCACCGGGTTCGATGGTGTGGGGCCGCTGCTGCTTGCGCTGATGCCGCTGTTCAGTGAGGAGGAGCGCGTCTTAAAGCTCATACCCGTGCGTCCCCGCTGTCAGCCGTATAAATGCACACACAGGGCAACCAGCACACCTGATAAGATGGAGCGAAGAGGACTTTGGAACGGTTATTGTATGCGCGACGCCTGATAAGTGTCGAATCACCATCGATAAATCAAACACAACATTCGATATTCCGACAGAGAGATTACGGATTAACCGCCGCACGAGTGAGATCCACAGATGAAAGCGCCAGGCAGAAAAATTAAATAACAACAGAGAAAAATAGTGGAAAAGAGGATGTATTGAAAAACGACATCCAGTGGTAGTTGCACTTGGAAACCGTCGACGCGAAAAAACATTTCCGAAGTTTTGAAAAAATCCATGGCAAACGCGCCTAAAAACCAGCGCAAGAATAGCGAGCATCATACTGCGGTCGGGCACGGGAGAATGGTAGCGGCTAATGCGCTGTTTTTGATTGGACAAGCGAGATCGCTGTTGCCATTGATGACAATCCCGTCTCGCCAGATTCAGAAGTATCAATTTCATCGTGGGAAAAAGCGGCTCACGTCAAAGAACGTTAACACAGATAGACAGAAAAATTTTGAAGTCTAGATTTTTCAGATTTTAAATTTTTTTTAGATTTTATGTAATCTTGATAAAGAAATCTGCAGTGGAACAAGTCTAAACTTGGTATTGCACTTTAATTCTCGCAAAAAATTAAATCTTATTACAATACTTCACCAATCAAACTCGTATGCGTAAATCTGTTTAGCAAGAAACTGTACTGGGAAACCCGGCACTGAAACCTAATTAAATCAAAATCTCTGTCAGTCAAACGTTCCCTGTATCCTGTGAGACTGACTGTTCCAAGTGTGTGCACGTGCTGACCTGAAATTCTGAATCATCATTTTTGACATCAGCTGCAGTTTATGTTTTTCTTGCAGCGAGTATTTTTCTTTGCGTTCTTCCAGCGTCAACGTATTCGTCAACTCTATCGTATAGTTTTTGTTTTACTACCAAATCTGTTTGAATTTGATTAGTCACTAGTGTGTAGTGATTGTAGTCCGAAAGAAGCTGATTCTGGTTGAAAATATTCCCAGTTAAATTTATCCGCAATTTGCCCAGCAAATCCTCATGTCATTACGTCAAGCCATCGCGGGCTTCCATCACGGGCTTCTGCGCGTCCGCGCCGGAGCCCATCTCCGTCGGCAGATCGGGAATGTGGCCAAGGAGACGCCGCTGCAGGAGGCTCGGGACTTAGCCCGATTGCGCGGCCATTCTGCCCCGTTGACGGAAGCCAGTCCCGTCCACGCCACGCGCCTGCTGTCCTTCCCGCGCAGTCTGCGCGATCTGGTGCAGGGCGTGCTGGCCATGACGCCCGCCTTGTTGGGACGCAATCGGGTGGCCACGATCGCCGGACGGTTTACCGTGGTACGGCCGGGACGTACGCTGGCGCCGTTGATGGGATTTATCGCGGCCATGCTGCGCGAAAGCCAGACTCCCGAGTTCCGCACACAGGCGGCTTGTGTGGCTGTACGGGTAAGTGCGCCTTGATAAGAATTTTTTTTTCTTAAATTTAGCGATATGCGAAATTATAATATACCGAATTTTTTCCGATATTTTGGCCAGGGAAGGCTTATTCGAAGTGTTATTTTTATAACGGAACTACTCAGCATATATTTAAGTCTTTGGTGAGTACTGAATATGTGAATTATTGTAGTGAAGCGGTTCATATCTGCAGGTTAGGTGTTTTTACGGGTAAATGAAATCCGTCGCTTATAAGTTGTTGTGGTTCCGTCACTTTCGTTAATTAAGATTATCATGTTTTTTTATTATCATACATTCAGTTTTACATTTTTGTTTTCTGTACAGTACCATGATGTTCTGTACGTATACTCCCGCAAATTCGAGCTCATTCAAAATTTCAAGATTTTATAATAAAATCTTGAAATTTTTATTGTTGATATTTGCTGAACATTGTTTCACTCATCGCGAAACATTCTCTAAACTGTTATTCAGATACCATCATACCGATAACAGTTGAGAGATAGATTGTAAGACAGGGTAACGTGGTACTGCGCATGGTAATTCTTCCAACCTAGAGTAGAGTGTGAAAGCAGCATATTTTAGGATGAAGCCCACAAATTCTCGAAAAGCGCCATGGAAATCGTCAAGCCCCATTTCGATCTGTCATCGTTCAACAAAATCTCCGATTTGGATTTTGGTCGACCATTGGGAAAGGGATGCAATGCCGCTGTATACGAAGCGCGCCTGAAAGAAGCCAGCGAAGCAGGTGCAAATGTATAATTTTTTTATGAACTGAAAGAAGCACTTGGCTTCCCTTTTATCCCTTTTCTGCTACAAATTTTGGTGTGCGTTTGCAAACCGCAAATATGCTACAATATGAGCTTATAGTTTAAGAAGCAGCTTTGCTTTGCGGAATTTTGCCAATAATTATGACAAGGCAGTGCTAATCAAATTCTCCAAAAACTGTAATTTAATAAAAAAAATATCGGTTTAACTTTTTTTAAAATTTTCTATGAAGTAATAAATATATATGGAAGCGTTTTTGTCAGAGAACTAAAATATTATTTGTGTCTACTAGCTCGTTATGATTTGGCGGTGAAAGTGCTCTTCAACTACTCCGTCCATTCTGACGCGGATAATGTGGAGCGATTATTCGAGAGTGAATTGCTGCCGTCGCAGCTCAACCACCTCAACATCATCGACGTCTTCAAGGCCTGCGTCGACGAGATGCCGGCGCTGCCGCAGTGCGAGAAGCTCTTCCCCAGCGCTCTTCCGCGTCAGCTGCACCAGCAGGGACTGGGTCGCACGCAGACCATGTTCGTTCTCATGAACAAGTACGTTGTGAACGGATCTACGAGTACGCGCACATTTTATTGCGAATACTGAATTAATGAGAAATTTTTATTGGAAGAGCGCCTAAATAACTGAATGGTTGCGACAGGCTGTGCTTTTTTTTCAAAACAGGCTTTCAGTAGAATTCTTTTCAAACTTTGCATCGTCGTAGATTGTTTTGTAGTGTAACGGGTCGTATCTGGATCATTCCAGGTTGTTGGTGTATTCTGCTTCGCTTGTAAAATTTCGCACTGTGATTTCGTTATTTGATACATTTTTTTATATTTTAAGTCTGTTTTATATGCTATTAAAATTATTTGTGCGTAATTTCTCACTTTATTGCGTTAACTGTTTCACACTGCTTTGACACTGTTGACCGACAACCGTTCGATATCGAAATAATACAAAATTTGAATGAATGTGACCGTTATTCTTGTCGTCCTCTGAGTAATCGTGGGGTGACTCGATAAGATTAATTTAGATATACTCGTTTCAGAGGGTCATATTCTGTTCTTTTGCTTCCGCAGATATTCTTGCACATTACGGGATATGATCGAATGCGGTGGCTGTTCGTTCAAGGAAGGCCTGGCCATCTTCGCGCAGTTGCTGGAAGGTGTTGCTAAATTGGTGAAGGAAAACGTCGTGCATCGGGATATCAAAAGCGACAATATTTTACTGCGTAAATCAGAAGGTACAAATGTGGCTGCAGTGTAGTACATGGGCATCGTGCTGGTTTAACCAGTTCTGGTGAGATGACTAATGTAATTAAAAGAATTACAACATGCTGCGTCAGTTTCAGCGTATTCGACTGTAGAGTCGTAGACATTAATCGTTTTTCGTAAAGTGAGATGAAGTTTTTATTTTGTACCTCGTAATTCAGCTGCGACAGAAGATTTGATTTATCTGGTATCCTTTGGTGCTTATCGTATTACACGTGTTGCACGTTTTTTTTAGATGGTCAGATGCTGCGCGCGGTCATCTCCGATTTCGGCTGCAGTTTGCGATCCTTGCGCCTGCATTACACGACTTCGCGCATTTCCCGCGGAGGAAATCGTGCGCTCATGCCACCTGAGGTACATCTCCCAATCTGTGTGTCGGCGATAATTTATTTATCTCAAATTTTTTGTCGATAAATTGTTTTGAAATTTACAAAATAAGAATCATTGAAAATCATTGAGAATTTGTTTTTCGCTTTGCGAATTTTTATGGGAAATGTTTCGCAATTCTAATACAGTAATTTTATCTGTCATCGGTAGTTTTGGCTTCTCATATGTGAAAATTAATAAGATTCATTCGTGGGTGAGTGTTTGATTCACCATCTGTTAGCACTTAGCAGGTAGGGACTTGCAGAAAGTATAAAAACAGGAGAATTTCAGTCTTTTTGAAACATATTTTTTGAATAAAAATGTCAAATATGTTTTTAAAAATAAATAAAATTATTTCTATATAAAGTAACACTTTTTTTCCGGGTACTACTAGTTCATGGCAGTCGCAGGTGGATAGTATTTCGGCGCACGGTGATTAAAAACTGAAATTTTTGACGATGGCGCAGTAGACTTGACAACGGATGCGTGTTGTAGGTGATTAACGCTCAGCCGGGTTTACTGAGCATCATCGATTATAGTCGGGCCGATTTGTGGTCCATCGGGACGATTGCCTACGAGATCTTCGCCGGCTATAATCCCTTCTTCGAAGGCGAAGTCAAGCTGAACTCCGCCAGCTACGACGAAGCGGCTCTTCCCGATTTAGACGATGAACCGTTGAACAATTTGATCCAGGCCATTTTGCGTCGCGATCCCTACAAGGTGAGTCGCGCTGCGAAAAAAAAGGCAGTGTAGGGTGTATTTTATCATTCAGTCTCACAATCAATTTTCGAAGGTTGTCGACACTGTCGATAACAACAGAATATTTTTTTACGGGAATATCAATGATTTTGTTTGTTGTAGTAATTGATCACACAAGACTACTGCAAGAAAACTCACAGAAATTGTTAGACGGTTTTTTTCGGGAAAAACGAAAGAAAATATACGCGTGTTGTGCTAGTGAGAAACAGAATGTTGTACGCACCGGGGATCAGTTTAAGCTAACATTTATCAGTATTGTAGTAGACTGGCACGAGTCCCTGAATGATGTTATGCTGTGGTTACAACTTACCTGTAATGCGATGCTACTCAATTCATTAGAGAAATAGAAATATTTTTTAATTGTGTCTTTCCAGCTCATGATAGTTTATTCGATTGACATTGTTATTGTAAAAGATGTTTTTGCTGGCATCAAACACGAACACAATACCTGTGTCTGTTATATCGTAAAAGCACTGGCGATCGATCATGGCCGTTATAGAATTTGCTGCGACTAAGAAAAACCCGCGAGACGCGGTCATTTGGAAATAACTGGCACCACGGCGTAGATGTTTTTGTAGAATCAATAATACAACTATTAAGCATATTTAATTATGACTTTCATAATTATACTAACAGGATATAATTACCATTAATATAATTATTATTAGTATATTTTCCTTAAACAGCCGTGATAAGGATTGTTTTTTTTTGACAGCGTCCATCACCGGCCGTGGCGGCCACCGCCTGCCAGATGCTGTTGTGGGATTTCCCGCTGGATGAGATGGGCGTGGAGGGGCCGCGGGTGGAGACGGTGCGGGTGTGGATCATGCAGTTGTGTGTGCAGTTGATCTGCGGATGCCGCGGGAATGCCTTGAAACGCGCCCTACTGGCCACCTTCCTTAAACGTTGCAATGTCACGGAGATCGTGCAGGCCGGACAGGTCCTCATCGGACAGCGATAAACGGGGAGAATTTTTTGAATTTTTGGTTTGATTTCTGGATAGTAAGGTAAATGCGGAATTTTCTGTCGCATAAGTGGAATAATTCTCAGTCGAAATTAGTAGTGGAAAAGCAGAGATCTCGTGAGCGCTGTAGTACAAAAATTTTAATATTTGAAAAAATAAACTCGTACAAAAGTTTGTCGATATTGTTTAGGTGTCTTTTACTGGCGTTTTTGTATATAAAAGTTTTATTTCTTTGGTTTTTGGTAATCTTCTGCTGATCGGGTATCAGAGATTGAATTTGCATGATGGACAACATGATTATGAAGGTTGGCAGTTGAATTGATGTGAAATTAAAAGGCGCTCTAAATTATGAAATAAATTTATCTGCAACCTGGGGATATCTTATCTGAGAGAATTTGAGATCTATTTTTTTCTCCGTTTCGCTATAAAAACCTGAACAAAAACTTTTATGATTTTTAGTAAGTTTTTTCGCTTGACAATGGTAAATTTGTAGTAAAAGTTGAAAAATTGACATATTTTAGGTGTGTGTTGTAGCTTACGAACGTGGATCACATTGCGAAGTTTGTCCCAACCATGTGGTTGTCGTAGTACAGTGGATAAAAAATATTGTAAAACTCTGCGTTCTGTGCGTAAAAACAGCTGATAGAAGCATTATGTATATACAGTAATTTAATGATTTTTACATAATTCTTCGTACCCCAAGTATAACAGCCGGTTTTTCTTCCTTTGACAATATTAAATTTTAATACTCGCAGAAAAATCATCGCACTGACTCCGTTCATCGGTCAAAGTGACAACGATAATACCATCCAAACAATTTAACCTCTCACCAAGCGGACATGAATTTCCACACAGGGAAACATCCGAAAAATTGAACACAAAAAAATAAATTCTATGCAGTGCCTCTACGGACGCAGAACAGCGTCAGGCGTTAAAAACATTAATTTAAATATTGCATGCCATAGAAATGTGCTTTACCAGTTGCGGGTTTTTTGAACAAAATACTCAAGTGGAATAAATCCCTCGTCCACTTCCCATCCACAGCAGCCGCCAGAAAAGAGGTGCAACACATGGTAGAAAAATACGCATGGACGCAATCAACAAGGAAAGAGAGAGAAAAAAACAAATAAAAATTCCGAACTAGAAATATAAAACTTTTTGGACGGGTGGCTGGCGTCAGCAACAGCGTCAAGGGGAACGGCGCATCATGGGCAATAAATGCGGCGGCAGATCCCCGTAGGGCTTCTTCTCCACCACGGGCATATTCAGGGCACTCATGGCGTCCGGATGGCGTTTTAAATGCAACGCCAAATGGTCTGTAAATTACAAATAAATAAGCTAAAATGAACGATTTACAGTGTCCAGTTCGGCTTTTATTTTAAATTATTTAGTTCGAATTTATATTTTAAATTTTCCTTTCAATAATGTTATGTATTTTTAATTTTAAGCCGAATTTTTCCATTTAAAAAGCTGTAATAGGTCCTAATTGCAATAGGTCCTATATTTCACAACATTATTCCAATAAGTTTCTTTTATTTTCAGCCGAATTTATCATTTTAAAAATCTATTTCGGTAGAAGTATTTTAAAATATGCGAAATCCGAACCAATTTCCATACACACATATATAAAAATATTAATGCAAAAAATTATTTCCGCACGTTGTGCAGGCCGCAGCGTGTTACTTCTGAACGGTGGATACAGTAAGTCACAAATTACTCGTATCTGAGCGCATTTGAAATTACCTGAGCGTGCAAAGGCCCTGTCACAGAACGAACATTTGAACGGTTTGTCGCCTGTAAAAACAAAACACCCGCATAAATGCACGACCTCAACGAATGAATACGCATAAAGCTAACACAACCACAGGAACTTTTAGTCAGTAACTTACCGGTATGTTTTCTGTAATGCCGGGTTAATTCATCGGATCGGGCAAATCTCCAATCACAGCCTTCCCAAGAGCACCCATACGGCTTTTCACCTGCATAATTAACAATACTTTTTAAAGAAACAAATACAAACAGATGAATACTAAAAAATGAAGAAAATTAAATATAAAACATGTTCTGCAAATATTTCATAAATTCTCTACATTTTACAGGAAAATTTGATCAGGAAAGGATCAGGATCATTTTACAGGAAAATTCTCTACATTTTACAGGATTTTACAGGATTTCAAAGTGATCAATAACAGTTCCATTAAACGGTGTGGAAACTTGTATGGTAAAAAAATACTATTAAATTTATGCTAAAACAGTAGTAATTTCTTAATAACCGATAACACAGCACAAAGAATTTAATGCGCAAATTAACAATAATCGCGTCGAGAAAATTCCGAACTAAGAAAACCAGAGAATTAATCGTGAATTCCTCCGTTTTCTCACCGGTATGAGTCCGAATATGAGCTTTCAGGTGCGAGCTTTTCTTGTACATTTTGTTGCAATCTGTAAAAGAACGAAATCGCACGGATCAATAAGCAATTATTCCGTTAAGGGAGACACTGTCTCTTTAATTCTTTTTAACCAAGCGTATAATGAACAGCCGGTATAAACTTGTCATTAATCGGAATAATCGTTCCCAGTTGCTGTTCGAATACGAGTGATTCCTGGGAATATTCGGCGAAACATTAACGCACCCAACGAGCACTCCATTCTTAGATGCCATTCACCAGCCTCTTCCGCGGCTGACATCGAATGCTCTACTTCCCTTTCTATTATTGATTCATGAATGTATTCCCGTTAAAAATGCGCAGCGATAAAATGCCAAAACGCCATCATGGAGCAACGACTCCCAGAAACGGCACGTGTCGGTTACATAAATCATTTCCCAATTAGCAAAGGCAAGGTGATGTATGAAATATTAAGCCTCAATTTAAAAATAAATTGTTCATTTCTCAGAAAAAATTAATTTCCGATTATTCAACAAAATAGCATGACATTTCCACTTGAGTTGACTGAGCCTATTTCGAAACGCTCCAGCTGCTGAAGCAATAATTTGAAAAAATTAAAATAAACTACCAGAAGCATATTAATAATTAAGTTAATAAAAATGTTCATATAGCATAATACTGTGATTAAATTAATAAAATGTTCATATAGCAGAAAATAGTAGAAGAATACAAAATAAAACAATATTGTATTGTACACCATTGTACCCTGATTGATAAAATAGTTACAAATTTATTATAAATAAAATTATCAAAATATAAAAATAGACTGTAGAAAGATCAGTATCACAAATTTATTTTAATTAAAAAAAATGGTAAACCTGTTCTTCGCGTCCCATTTCCTAAAAATCTGTCTCAACTCTGCCTTTTTCCGGCTGCCGAATTTTTTCCTAAATTATTTCCACAATTTAACCAGCACTTACCAGGGAATGTACAGGCGTAGGAGCGGCGATTATCCATCATCATCCTGTCCTCGAAATCATGCCCGGACACGGGCGAGGACGACGTGGTGGCCGACGGGTCCATGCTCCGCCCCCCGCCCGCTCCCGGCGAGTAACCAGTAATAATATCAATCAACCGTGATGTCTCCCGTGAACCGCGTTCCATGGACATCAACGGCGAGGTTTCCTCCCGCATCGGGAGATCCTCCAGCATCCCCGGGTTCATCATGAACAACCCCAGACTGCCGGATGATAGGCGACTGCGCAGCACCGGACTGGGCAGTTGATCGGGTGTTTCTACAACGTAGATTTGATACATTTTCCGGTGAAAATTGAATGATCGTGTCGTGTGAGTGTATTGCCACCGGGCGCGGACGGGCTTTCATATTTATATACACGGGTGTTGGTGTATATTTTGACGCATAAACTACGACGCCCTTATCAGCCGTCTTATCGTCGGGCCAGTCGACGCCGGTGATGATTCACGGATTACGGTGTACTACAGCTTGATGTGCGTTAATCAGGCGTTTTACGCTGTAATGTTGCCTTTTGCAAAATTAATCCGCTTTTTAGTTTTACTGCCGCCGTGTGGACAAAACACACCCTGTACAAGTATGCACGACGTAAACGTGCTCAGAATGTGACACATTCCTTCGCAATCTGCTAAGAAATCTCTGCATTTTCAAATAAATTTCAACGTTTGCATGTATCTATTTCGATGCTAATTAATAGTATCCATGAATAACGAAATGGATTAAAAAACAAATACGAATAGTACAAAGTCTATACACTGGCATCAGAATATCGTAGTGTAAGGTATTGCAATGAGTGTAACCAATTTCCCGGTGCCGTAAAACATATGCACATCAGCGCATCGAAAAATTTGTGGAAATTATTCCAGATACGTTTCGCTTATAGAAATATTTTTTAATTAAAATATTAACATTAATTCCCATACACGAGTACGTAGTAAAAACTGCCTTTTATCGAATTCTTCCAATTTTAAAATCTAACACCATCCTGCACTGGAAGCGTTATTTCCCGTATTCCAAGATTCATTATCAGGATTAACTCCTGTTATTTATTTTTAAAGAGAAGTGGTAATTTATTACCATGATACAACACATATGTCAGCTTGCGCAAAAATTCGGCCATGGTTTAGGGCGCCGCTGTCGCGTTGTATTACCATTATACAACATCAACGGTAAAAACACAACACTACTCAACCTTCGCAGATCAATCACCAGCACCGCGACGGATCCGTTGTGCAACTGACCGAACCGAACAACGCCGAGTGCGGACCACCCTCGGAAATTGACACCTAATCACCCTCCTTCACCGGTACACCACCGCGCCATCGGAAAACAGTGCGGAAAACACACCAAGGAAAAAAACACCCTCATTGTGCTCAATTTTTCACTCACGCACCAATTGTCCTTTGTCTACCGTGTGTGTCCACGTCCCCACCCCGAAGAACGCGTAATTATTTCTCACCCTCCGCTGACTAAAACATTTATACACTGCGCGGCCATGGACCGATGCCGGCGCTAATGGTAGATATTAGTACCGTGCAAAGCGTCAAAAAACTTCCGTTAATTATTTGTTGCTGTTGTAACAAAAGAATATCAATTAGCCGCGGAGTGTGCAATGTTTGTCCGCTGTTTGTATGTAGCGAAATGGACAAATATCGTTCCCGGCGTCAACAAACGGATTGATTACCACTTCCACAACCGACAAACATTTTACACGCGCTTGTGTCATAATTCATTAATTTTTTTCCGGCGAAACTGGCACGGTATACACCATTCATAAAAATATTTTTCAAAAACAAGAAAACAAGCCATAAAAGTTTACGACACCACCCTCGAAAAAAATAAAATCCAATTTTTAAAAAAAAATTAATTTTTAATTTTCTTCTACAAAAAATTTAGAAATCATAATAGCAATGGCAGCCGCACGCAAAAACCGTAATTAATTCAGTCTAAGTAATCACAGAACAAGAATAATTTTCGAAGCGGTTTGGAGGGAAAAAATTAATTACAGATTTTATTGTCCTGGTTCATCAAAACCCTAACTGAATAGCTTAAACTTTCACTGAAACAGTTTTCCTTGACCTCTCCAATAATTTCCTGCAATTTTCCTGCTTTTCGTTTTTTTAATTATTCTAATTTATCCAAATTCCTATCGAATAATTTATGTTAATCAACGCCCAGATTTTTGCCAAATTACGCAGCATTTAGGTTTCCAGTCATACGACAGTAACGCGGATGCACGATCAAGTTTTCTCTAGCGAGGAAAGCCTGTCACCCACCCACCGGAACGACCCTGATTAGCCCTACAGCAAATTTGAGTCACATTCTTACCAAACGAGAAACGATTTTTGTATTCGTTTTCTTTTATGATTGATCATCCAGCGCCGGCGCCCAAACTCATAAAATAACCCCGCCGTATATTACGAAAAAAACTGCATGTGCCGTTTCCATAACTTTACAGTTTTACAGATACATGCCCCATTGCGAAAGATTTTCCGCCTAAGGAATTTACCACGATCAACGGAAGTCATCAGATTGGTTCTCGCTGGCATAACATCTGCCCAAGCAAGTCAATAATTGCTCTCTTAATCATCGAATGTAGCATTTAGCAATAAAGCCGAAAACGTCATAACATGTACGCTTCAGTTATGAACACACTTATTTACTTCTGAAAACATTCGGCTAATTGATGTTAAGGTGTTTCGCAAGAGAAAAACAAACAACATTTAAATGCGTAATTAAACGCATCCGAGTTTTCATGAATGAATTTTTACGAGTAAAAATTTATTTGGCTTTTTTTACAAGACAATGAACAGCGAAGATTTTTTACACAGAAAATTCAGACAAGAAATTGAAAAATATTTTTACTTTCTTCATAAAATTTTCTGCCAATTGTTGCTTACATTGTTTATCTGTTTTCGCAAAACAGGAAAACAAAATCGACAAGTATCAATTAGTATATAAAATTTAAATAAAAAATTCTTTGCACCTGAATTTTTATGAGTTTGCAGTTTATCTTGTTTTTATTACAACAGAATATGAGCAAATGACGTTTTTTCATAGAGAAAAATTTGAAAGAAAATAAGAAAAACATTTTCACGATTTGTACATGTATAGTAGAACCTTTGCAATCGCTGTAAAGACTGCTTTGTGTACCGAATTAAATGCCAAATAAAAAAAATTGAATGAATGACGGCGCAAAATTCCAGCGCAGCATTACGCCACAGCGCATTACGTAATTCCCTGGAAACACCCGGAAACAACCACACTACACCTGGTTTCTGCCAAAACGCCAAACCCGCCCCGAAACCCGGAACTGTCGCGTTCCAGCCAACTCCGCAGCGCCACTAATCTAATAAACCACTTGAGAACTCAAAATAGACCCTCTTTCCTCCGTACATTCAACCGGCGCGTCCAACACACAGCAGCGAACGACACACACACACACTTACCGATCGACGAAGTGGACAATGATGAAGTGGAGGCATGGCGTAATTTGGGTGATGGGCTGGAGTAGTGGTGATGGTGGTGGTGGGCCATTTTATGCTGGAAACGGTGATGAGTACGTCTCTGATGCGGATGCGACGCATGCCGTATGACGGAGGCACGAGGCACAGCCACCGGCGGCGTCGCCGAGGAGCAGGACAGATCCACCGGCTGGTCAAGCAGTCCGCCCAGCTGCCGCGGCGGCCGCAGCTCCGTGGGCGACTCCATCTCCACGTCGGTGGGCGGACGGTCGTATTCGGCTTCACTGTACGGCTCCTCTTTCGGCTCGAAATATACCGGCTATTTTCAAAAGAAAATCTTCCATTAAAATGGCATTTACTTATTAATTTCGGAATTACTGTTCATTTTCTTCCTGGGATTTACTGATTGACAATTCTGGGATTTATTACTCCCAAATTATTTTAATTAAACACACTTTCTCAAATTGATAATTTCTAAATTACTGGTCAATTTTCCGTTCTAGAATTTATTTAAAATTATTTGAATTTAAATTAAACGTTTTCAATTTCTGTATTTGATTTGTTTAAACACAGGTCATTATCCGCGTTTTTTTCTCTTACTGATTCTTCGCGGAACGGCTCGAATATCTTGGATCGATGCCGTGATAAATCATCGAGATCCCGGTGTAGGACTTCTTTAATGGCTTCCACGGATACTTGCAGGCTATATTTAGCATGGAAGAGAATTTCCCCATGCTCATCCGTTAATGTCAGTTGCTGCAATTAACACATACCCAAAAATATTACTTTTTGCGCAATACACCATGCTAACTTGTAAACATGCAGGATAGCTCGAATTTCAGATACATCCTGCGACATTTCTACAAGAAACGAATTAAATACTGACCAATGCACCAGGAAAACTTGCGATGCAAGCTAAAAAGGTGTGCTAATCACTCAAAATTAATTTTAGCGTCTTTTTATCGGAACCAGTTTTGGAAATTTAGGCATCATTGTAATCATTGCCAGTTCACTACGAAACCCTATGATATTACTGCATTACGCTCCAACTGCAACATGTCTGCGATACTGCAGTAAGTAACTGCCGCCTATCACCGACGTTACCGAAAAAGATTACTTAATAAAAACATAAGGAGACAAAAAATTAATTACGCAGTAAATCACATGACCAGCAACCGTAATAAACCACCACCAAAAACCCAATCAATCAGCGCAAATTCAATATCTTACCGTTTTAATCAATTTTGGCGGCCCCATTTCAACCAGCACTCAACTCAACGCGCCAGAACAAAATCCCCACCGCTGCACAATTGGGAAACAACGCTGTACACGGCATACGCATATACACAGGTATACACGGCTACACCCGACCTGGACCAACGTAATCGAGGTACCGAAAATAACACGCAAGCGACGGCAATTTTCTCTCTCGTTATTTTCTCTAACCTCGGCTTTTACAACCAGCCCAGACAAACATACACATTACACATACAAATGCCGAAAAGCAGCGGAAAAAAATTATGCCAGCCGAGCCGACACTACAGCGACACCACCCCAATGCCGACTTATCACAAGGCTAATCAACAGCAGCGATCATTTCCACCGCCGGGGCGTTGTCCGTGTATACACGCGTGTGTATTCGGTATACGAGTACACACACACAGCGGAGAGCGCCAACGGGTTTGTCCTTAGTCAACCACCTCCGGATATTACTTATACACTGTTATACACACTACTCGGTTGCCGGGGTGTACTTGATTCGCTGCTGCCATGTCTTGTAAAACGTCCTCCACCCCGCCTGTTATGTGCAACACATGTGTATACAACATTTACACACCCGCACACGGAATCAGTGTGCGCTAACCGTGTGAGGAGTGGCGACAGCGCCGATTCCGTTGGTCGGCGAGTTACATGGACAGCTGCTGTATTACGCAGCCCTGACACACCTGCCGCTGCATGCCAATGTGAAAGCTAATCCCGCGCGTCATGAGGAAAAAACACTGACGATCGTCCCTGACCTGAATTAATAATAATTTATATGGACATATGCATACAAGTACCGTATGTGCGAGCACGCACCGGCACCATAAAACACCGAACATGCAGTTTACTGTTTCATGTTATTAATAACATTCATTTTTTCTGCATTTGTTTTCACCAGTTTAGTTCCCAAAAAAATGAAAATGATAAGAGCTACATTTGGAAATTAGCAACTGTACAGCATTCACAAATCTGGCATGTCTAACAACCAAACAAGTATATTCTATGTGCCATCGTACTACAATTGCAACACATAAACAGATACAGTAAGTACTGTACCTACACGAATGCATACTTCGCAGCTAAATTTATTAAACCGTCTATATTTTTTAAATGCTTATGAAATCGCTGTCGAGCTAGTTTATGTTCTTATACGGCCACTCCATAGTTTTCAAACCCTGTGAATGATCAGTTTCCGAAAAATGCGCTTATGACTAACCCCCGCCCACCCCGCATCGCGGCCCCCTGATTCTCACGATTCTCAATCAAAGCGCGTTGCACAGCATATTGCCGCATCCGTTGAATCATGATGGCGCGGACGATTCATGCCAGTCATGCGTGGCCGGTGAGCCGGTTAGCAAGCTGATTATTAAACATATTCCCGCCGCCACGTATCGCCAACTGGCCACTGCATGCGACCTCACCCTCTCGTTCAAATGCACTCTGGCAACACCAACACCCAGGCGGCGTATTGTGCCATCTCCGGCACACAACAGACACACCTGCTTGGACGGGTTCCGCCTCTTGTGTAATGCAGCGGCATTATAATGTGCATTACGTGCACAGCAGCAGGGCGAAGTCGCACCACATGCCGCACGGCCAGCGAAATCAGACAAACAAATCACACTGGAATGTTAAGAAAAAATCAATCTAATCGAAAGATTGCATTCCACGACAGACGTCTGCTTACCAACATATTTTAGAAAATATAATGCTGAACAAAATGCAATTATTTACTGCAAACCCTACATTTAATGACCTGTGGTACTAAAATCTAACCACTGGTATCTATCAAACTCCCAATATAATAACCATAAATAAATAAAAATACTATAACACTAAACAACTAAAAATAATTTATTATTAATGTTTATTTCTTTAATTTAGCAGGTCCAGCACAATTTTTGGCAAATCGGTATAGGTGAGCCACTAAAACTCTAAAAGTACTTATTGCCACTTCACTACCATTTCGTGAATTTCTTAAGCTAGGTTTAACTGGCTATTGGAAAGTGTTAAAATTGCCACCGGAAGCAACAACAATTTCCAGAAGCATGAACGCCTTTCACGTTTTAATCAGCCTGTAAATACGCTAACATCCCCATCCAGGGTCCTACTGTAAACCGGTTCGCACTGACGTCAACGCCGAGTTCCAAAACAAATGCACACACGCCGGCGACGTCGGCCATCGACGTCAGCGGTCGATTTTCCCATTTTCCGCAGCGGCTCAGCGCCCACATCCCCACTGTTGCTGTCCTAGACTTTTGCATTGTAACAAGTTCAACAACTCGTTAACGTGGAAAACCGGACCGGTAATTGACGCAACACCTTTCTTCAACAAATAAAATACTTCCTATCACGAATACCGATTGCAAGCATCGGTAAGCGGCACACTGCACAGAGTCAAAACAATTCCAGGTGGAATTATTAAAATTTTAACGTGCCTTATTTTAAAGCTATCGTTACATATTATGTCTGTAAGATATGGTATAAAATGCTACTTAAATGCAATACTGAAAACGAAAAAATTTTAAACCCGAGCCAAGTAAGCCAAGAAAACGAATACTGGAATTATTATTCTGGTCATTACTCATAGATTAGAAACGGACCGGAAGAACCTAATCCACTGTACTACGAAATTCAGTCCATCATATACTGAAAGCCTAACAACGCATTCTACTTTTTCAAAATAAATACATACTGAAAACACGAAAAATAGCTCTAGAACTAAAGCTACACCAGACAAGAAACGATTAATGGAATTACTGTTTTAATAATCAGAATTCAACCTGAATTAAAGAACTGATGCCACTGCACTACGAAATGCACTCAACCATGTATTCAAGCTTAACATGTACACCGCATTTTGCAACACGTTACTTCAAAACTCGACAATCAACTGCGGCTCCATCGGGGGCACATTCCGGCACACAATCTACCGTGCATTCCGTCTCCCATCACGTGCCGCTCTCGCTCTCGCATCCCCGGTTTTTGCCCTTAATTCATCCCCATCAGCCACATGTGGCGTCGCGATTGCTCACGCACGACCAACACATTCAGCGCACACCCTGGACGCGCGCACTGCGGGCATTGCAACCACGGAGCCTTAAAATTTAAAATCACAGACGACAAAAAGCTCGCGCAGGCCTTCCCTACTCATTAGCCACCTTCCCATTGTGTGGCGGCCTTCGCCGTATTATCCCGTCGACCGGGATTTGCTTGACTCCCGGAATGCCGGGTGCCTGGATCGTAACCGGCAAATGGCTTCCTGAACAAACAGCACGTCAGGCGTGCTACCGATTAACCTCCAAATAAACGCCGACTCGTGCGCGACCACATGTGGATGCATACACCCGGAAAAAATCGTTAGGCAACTTAATTCGATCATATTTCACCGCGCGTCGCCCGACAGCAGCAACCGGCAGCGTTCCATCAATTTTCCTCTGACTTTTGCAATCATCATCGTCTGATATGTAATCAAGCAAACGACTTTGTTTGTGGCATCTTCAATGTGTTTAATCCTGGGAGAAAACTCCCAGGTACTTGTACATAAGTACCTACGTATGTAATATGTAAGGATTAATTTCGCTTAGCAGAAGAATCGCAGCTATTTTTATGCTTTGAATCTCCTATTAAGAAGTTAACCGATATCTCTGTTAAATTTCTGGGAAAATTAAACATACTCGCAACCTGTAATTACGTACTGTATTAATACATGCAGACGATATCTCCTTGGTTTCATCTGGTTATTAAAATCAATCCGCTCACTACATGTCTACAAGTAACTGCAAATCAATATCAATCAAAAAGTTTCCAAGATATAACTTCACATTATAATTACCAGATTTTTGTATCAGCTTGCATAACCGGATCAAAATGCTGCTGAAGGAAATACACATTCCTAGTACCAAAAAACACGTTTAAAAACAATCCACGACACGCCTAAAATTGCAATCACCAATAATTAATCATTAATTTTTTATCATGCAATCGCACATTAAAATATGATTTTTTATCAATTGTATAGCCGGATCTGCTGCGGACCACTTTTATAGGATTACATAGACGTATTCACAATAGCAAAAAAATAAGTTTGAAATCGGTGATCAATATTTCATTACTTTTCCCACGAAATAATTTTTGACCTTCAATTTTTTCCATAGCCCTGCCATTTACAACCGACAAAATTTCTCCTCCAGGTCAACACTCCGCCAGTGTGTATCCAAAGAAAACCCACCCTTTCCGGCCCACAACGCAATCAATGTCTTCCGGTGGCAAGATTTCTCTCTCCCTCCACAAAAGCCTTAATCCGAAGGGAGACACCGTACCGGGGCATACAAAAGCCTCTCCGATCCCAACCCTGGACGCTGCAGCACACAAAGGCACTCCAGAGAGCAGAGTGCATCAGTGCCCATGGCAGCCGGGCTGCACACACTCCCCCTCACACACCTGATCTCCCGTCACTTCCGACCTCTCGCCGATCGATCGCGACCCTCAGACAACCTTCCTGTGCTCTCTCTATCTCTCTCAGTGTGCCACATATCTCCCGGCGCGTCCTTGGTGTATTATCGCGTGATGGGCCCGGTCAGCCGAGTATCGGTCGACCTCCCGTCTTCCCCGATGGGAACATGAAGCCCGGGTGTCACCTTACCCACATCCCCCCGTGTCAGCCATTCAGACTCAATTTGCCAGGGAAGACGATACATGCCTTTTATGTGAAAGGTTAGAAAAAGATCCGGGTTGCGCAGGATGTACCGGATTTTATTTCTTTCTAAATTTGTTAAAGAAGACTGTCATGGTCACTTTTAATTAAATTTTATTTCATTCATAAAATCACACTGATGATTTATCACATGCACCGATGGTAATTACGTCGTTGATTAAGAATAGAATAGAATGATTAAGAATAGAAGAAACAGAATCACATATTATTTTGTCATGCGTTGTTAAAATGTAAGCATAATAATTAAAAAAGCAAATACAAAATCGATGGAAAAAACAGTCAATAACCATTTACATATTACTGCAGAAAAAATATGAAGGAAAATAAAAAATACATAAATATAAAAGTATAAAGGCAAATATAAAAATATGGAGGTTAATAAGAAGAAACGTTCGAAAAAGAATCCAGAAACAAATCCTTTCAACCAGTTCCAAGTAAAACGATTTCCCCATTAAAAGACCGCGAAAAATATGTACTTCCAATAAACGGAAAGAATTACGAGACCTAAATCCTTTCATATAAAATCCTTTGTTAATCGTCGAGGCATGAAGCTTCGCCGCATGGTACACCGCAGCATGAAAACAGCGGCTAGAAAAAATCTTTTTCATCGCACATCAATTCTATGGCAGTCAAGCAACGCAAGGGCCGAACAACGCCCTTTGACTAACATCCCGGCTTTCTATTCAGACACGTTTGCAATCAGAAATGGCGTGCCTAGCTCTTTTATGCTGATGCTTCCGTTTATAGCTCCAATTTTCTAATCCATACTTTTTGCTTTTCCAATTAGAAAATCTGTTCACATTTTCTATTGGTCAATTAATGAACATTTTTTTTCTCTTAAAAACAACCATTTCAACATTTCTGTTAACCGCTTAACGAATCATTGTGCTCTAAATAATATGTTGGTAATTAATTTTGGTGTTTTCCAACGATACGGCTAAAAAAATAACAATTAGTTTTTTTCTTATATTTTGTTGTACTTGCACCTTTTATCTTTGCTAAAACATTTACAGAAATTAATAAGAAATTAAGAATCCAGGTTCTCAACATTATTATGCAATATTTTGTGTGCAAGATTTTGCATTATGTATGCAAAGGAAAAACGCAGCTAATTTGTGCTTTGCAACGACATCTGTCAGCAAAAAAATTAAAATTACGGCTTACTTCGTTTTTATTTTATTGCAGTTCACCTATTTGCTAAGAAAGATTTACAGTAATTATTAACAAGAAATAATTTAATAAATCAGGTTCCGAACATTATTATGCAATCTTTCGTGTGCAGAAAATTGCGAAGATCAAAGAGGCAGGATCTTCGCACAATAAACTAAGAAGGACCCTCGGCATCACCAATTAATGGAAATCCCTCGATGGCCGAGAGGCGATGCTGGATGCTGGCGGTACAATGTCGTGATTGTGGTCAATTACAATCAGGAATCGCAAGACTAATACCGGCTTTCAGAGCACCCAGGCCGCCAATTGCCGACCTAACATGAACAGCCCCTGTTGACATTTGCGAAAATGCCACATCAGCGTGCTCCGGCTACCTTTGCCTAATTGGTGAGGGTGTTTAACAAACAATTATGGCAAATTGTTTGTGAAAAAATAATAATTAGAGGCACCGCCGGTCTGCAGAATATGTCACCGCGATGGAAGTACCCAATCATATACCAGCCCACACTGTGGCTCCAGATGACGAAAACATGTACGATAAACGATCCAATAAAGAACAGCAGTTTTAGCAAAAATAGAAGTTAATAATTACCGCTAAATGTTATGCAGAAATTGTGCGTGCTGAAATTTTCTTCGAATTGATAGAAACAAAAATACCAATACACCTATAAATCCTAACTTTCATGTCTTTTATACGTACACAATAGTTAGTTAGAAGAGAACAATAAAAAATATTTCATTTCCGTTTAATTTTAAATACATCAGTGCATAATAACCTCTGCACACAGCAAGCTCAGTACGTGTAAATAAATATGCAACTGGCCAGTTTCCAATGCTTACCATGCAAAATTGTGTAGCATTCGTTTCTAACACTTCTAAAAATAATTCTCCCCGATTCAAAATTTTGTCACAGTAACGTTTTGATGTAACTAAAACTAAAAGCTTGCGAATGGACATATCGGCAACACAAAATCTTTTTAAGAGTCAGATCAATCGTAAATATTATTACCTTTTAATGCAAACGCAAGTGAGGATTCCGTGAAAATTCAGTGAATACCCGGTAATATCTTCACCGTTCAATTGTTCATAAAATATTTACCGAGTCTTTTCCATTATGAATCAGGCAGTTAATATAAAAAGTACCTTTCCCTGCAGTCTTGCGGTACATTCCAGAATTAATAAAATAATTACAGAAAATCTATTGATAATTACAGAAAAATTTTCCCTGCACTACATTCCAAAAATTAATGCACGATTCAAAAAAACTGATTAATAATTACAGAAAATTTTCTGAATTTGTGCTGAAAACTGCGGATCACTCCCGAGGCTCACCAGCATCTTGTCCAGCGAGCGTTGTCCCGGCATGATCATCATGGATGCAGCGGCTGCCTCTTCCCGTGGCGTTGTCAACGCGGATGCTTCTCCGGCGGCGGTGGCTGTTGGTGATGCAATGCCGGCGGCCTCCAGCTTGGCTTGGCTAAGCACTGCAGCCCGCAATCAGCTGCTGTCCGGCTGATAACAACACAACACAGTCACGACGACGCTCGTGCTGATAAGCGACGCGTTCGACTGGCCTCGATCGCTGATCCAACTCCCACAGTAAACACCCAACTGCACCGAGCAGGCCCGGCGCCATCCAGCTCCCACAGTATATATCGATAACAGCGACAGTTATGCGGCCTCGTTGTGTAAAGTGTGTATCTGCACACCCCTTGGCTGCACAACAAACACACCAGCTGATGCGCGCACAGCACCGGCAAATGGGACCCGACCGGGATAACGTCAGCGGATTGTTCGCGCGCGGGACACCTGGATGAAAATGAGGGGTGGTGACCGAACGTAGGGGAATAATTTGCATTGACAAACATATGGGACATACGATAGATAGCCGAGTTGCGACGCGCGATACATAATTACCGCTGACCTAATCGGATGAATTATTTACCAGGCCCTGCGTTTCCTTTAAAATTTATACGCAGTTACGTAAAACGCCTACAAAAATACTACAAAAAAATTCGAAATATAATAATACGTTAAAACTTTTAGTATATATTTCGAATTTTGCAAATTTTTGTATTTTATTTTTACAGTACTTTTACCGTAAAAGTGTGAAAAGAAACTCCATTAATTTTTACCGACAGAAAACAGAGCAGCAAAGGATCACTTAAAGCAAAATACGCAAAAAAAGTTGTGAATGCAGGTAAATAAATTCTCTTCTAAACGCAACGAAATAACTGTAAAAAAATCGAAGCGCTTAAAAAAAAACCTGCACGGCTGCACCGTTCTCGGCCTTTAATAATTAATTCTTTTTCTTTATTGATCTAACAGCAAAAACTTTGCGTTTGCAGCTGAAAAGTAAATCTTAATTATAATTCATAAAATAGTAAATTCTGAAGAAAAGACTTTTTAATTTCAACCTTGTACAAGCAAATGTCATTTACAATTATAACTCAAATACCGAATAGCTAGAATAAATTTTGAATATTATAACTTCTTAAATAATCGGATCAGGAAATGCAAAACCCAGCGAACTCACCTAATTAGACTAATTTGAGTTAAAAAATAATACTATTAAACTTATAATAATTGATAATTAGATGACATTACCAATGACATGCATTGCTAATTAATCGAATATAAAGCGATTCAGGGAACAGAATCCACACAAGAAAATCCCCAGACTGCAAAACTGCAATTTAAATAGAAATTTAAAATCTGTAGCACGACTTACCAGTGACATTTAATTACCAGCACACACTGCCGAGACAGACACACGAACTGCAAAGAACGGAACTGGATTTCAGTTAAGAAAATTGCAAAACCAGATTTTCTCAATGATCTCCACACCCTCCGTACAAAGAATTCTCGCGGGGCAAAAATTGTGAGAGAAAAATTATGCTACGACGGATGCCAGCACCGTTCACGGAAGCGTAATCAGAATTACGGAATCAAATTTTACGAAAAAACCGACATTAATTAACTAGCATCATGACTCAACCGGAGTAAATGGAAAATGGATTGCGAAATAGCTCGTTAACGCCTCACAAGTGTGCACCCACTAATACTACACTACACATACGCATACAACGCCTCAAACATTTCCACAAATTATCCAACACTTTCTAATCGCCGCTCCGGCTTATCAGACAACTGCAGGCCAAAGTATGCCTTTTGAAAGTTATTAGCATGACAATGCACTTACCCTTCGGACAATGTGGAATATTGCAATCAAGTGACTGGAACAATCATCCAACAGTCAAAAGTACTGAAATCCCGATAATGCGAAAAAATATGCGGAAAATTGGAACACACGAATATACGGTACGGTTGTGTGTGGCACGTGTGGTATAAGCGCGTCCAGGGTAATGCGCGGTCTATTTCAAATAGCGACGCAGACTTGCTCGCATCACTCTGTGCGGCTGTGTGCTGATGCTGCCCCGTCTCTCTCTCTCTGTCACCGATCTAGAGAGCCAGTTGACGCATTGCCGTACAAAGCGGAAGTAATCAACGTACGTCCGCAACCGTGCAGACTTTTGAATGCACAAGTTGACATTATGCACATTGCGTCTAAATAAACAATCATCCATTGCATAGCACAACGATGCAAGATTATAAGTTACCAAAAGTCCTCGAAGGTTTGGTTTCACATGTTTTTTATTAAGAAATGCCTTTGTCTACGACAAACTAAATGGCTCGATTTTCTCTTAGATCCCATAAAGGATGAGGGAACTAGAAATATCGCTTGCTGGTTTTGGAAGATACTCAGCGCGTGTTATTTATTTTATGCTTGTCCCGGATGCACATTGTAGAGAGCCAGTTGACGTCACGCAGCCGGTTGAGCCGTACTAAAGCGGAAGTAGTCGTACGTACGTCCGCACACCGTGCAGACGGAATTTTAGGAATGCAGCGACAAAAAAAACTGTTGACATTATGCACACATGCCCAGAAAATCTAAATCAAACAATCATCCATTGCATAGCATTAAAAGCAACGATTTATCCCGGGATTAAAAGCAAGTACTTATCCCAAGTTATCCGAAAAGTCGAATAATAACAGAAAGCGAGAATGAAGACACATGTGGAAATTAAAAAAGCCCACGAATTAACATACTGCACAGTGCACAGGGAACTAGCAAACTGCGCTGTTAGCTGCTGTGCATGCACAGTAGCAGTAACCGGGAACGGCGGACCTGCGCCGATATAAAATGCAAATCACTGTGCAACCGGGAAACGCCTCAAAAACACTGGCTGTTATCTCGAGCAAGACGCAGTAACCCAAATCAGCACGGTGGCTCTTTCTAAAAAACACAGGTGCCTCGATAAACGGTCTGTCTCACCTATAGCCCAGCCTGCATCCGGCTAGGCGTCGATCAGCAGACAACGCTGTCTGGGCCCGTACATAAACAACAACAGCCAACTGGTCGCTGATTGCATGGTCCGAGTAGCCATTCAACAAGGCACGCGCAGCTTCTGTGTCAGACGCTGTCAGGTATACTAAACACTGTAGTGACTGTACCATTAGTGTACCAACCGGCACGTTTTGTTTCGCGTGTATTGTCCCGGTTGAATTAGGTTTTCGTTCTCATTGGCCCAAGGAAACCCGTTGTACCGTTTTTCTGGTGTATTTCCGTGTAAATGACGATGATCGGGTGCCTCGGCGCAATTATCCTCCCGGGCATCACTGCATCCGTGACCTCACACCGAATTTACAAGAAAACCGGCGCCCGGTGAAATTCTTGCAAACAACCGTACACGGACGGATGACTAGTTGTCGTACTTGACAGGTGCCATACAAAATATTAGCAATTATCATAATTTTTGATAAACAAGCTTGCAACCTGGAGTTATGCTGGGCGTTGCACCCGTACGCACTTCTAATAACTGCAACGTTACAAACCGGCTAATAATGCTGGCTTGACGTCGGTGGTAAAGAGGAAGTGGCGGAATTTTGACGGGCGGTTCCGTTTCGCACCAAACTACTCGTCTTTACCGCGAACTTTGATATAAATTGCATTGGTCACACTTTGGCAGGATGCAAGACGTCATTTCCGGCAAAACGCCATTTCCAACTATGTAATGGGAATTATTAACAAGAAACGCGCTTGACCAATGGTCAATTTTTAGGCTATACCGTTTCCTTTTCTGACAACTTTAACGGCGACAGCTGCATTTACTGACAGAATTTAAAATAAAATAATTTATTAATTTTAGTCTCAAGTCTGCGAATAATATGTACATTAAATTGTTTTTTCAAGTAGTAAATACTTTAAAACAAATCTGTTTTTATTCACAATTTTTAACTTATTGTAATTAATTTTGGAAATAACAATCAGCTATCATTTTAATTTCTTTTAATTGGTTTAGTGTCACGTGCCATCACTTCCTTCATCCGTGCATACGAAGAAAACTGCAATTCCATGCAGTTACTAATCATTAATCATTAAATCAGTAAGCGAAAATCCACCCATCCGCCGAAATCCAGTCTGCACTGATTTCCGCCTGAACAGCTTTCCACCGAAACCGCGTTTCCCGCTACACGAACGCCAGCTCTGCACCAAAAGCAAATTACCGGCAAAGCTTATTCCACGAGCACAGGTGCGCGCAAAATACGACGGAGCAGCAGCAGCTGCAGCTAAGCACTTCACTCCCATCGCACACACACTGACAGTAAACACCCATCCAGTACCGGTCGCGGACAATTAATGTTGCAAATTTTTCTTTAATCTGCACCACACCGGTATACAATAGTTGCCTCCCAACCAGCCGACGCCTCGGGGAAATTGACCTTCCGCGACCGGGATGACTTCCGGGCGTGCTAATCACAATTTCAAGGACTACCGGTCTTCCTCTCTATCCGCACTCGTTTCCCCTCATTCGCATCTGGCACGTTTACCGTGAACGGCACACGTGCAGCGGAAGAAAACGGGGAAAAATCGATACTTCGCCGGTACAACGATGAAAATTATTAACCGGCTTCGTTGTACACACCGCGGTGCGTTAGAAACGTGTCTCCCACATGTGTCGCCGGCAGGGCGACAGATTACCTACATTCACCGAAATATCAGCGAACGCGCAACACAATCCAAGCTGGCAACTTCCGCGGATAGAAGATTACGGGAGGATGGAAACGGGAGAATGCCCTTTCACATGATTGCCGCGAAATGAATATTGCGAAGAAATTCCATTGGCCTAATTATCTGGTAAATGTACGCTAAATTTATCCGGCACACTTTTATAGATTACAGTAAGAGCTCGGACTTGGTGACATTTCAGTTAAACCGGCACAAGAGGCGAAAAGCCGATGTACGGACTTTACCCGATCAGATTAATAGTGGAAATCAAAAATTAAATTGCATGTAGTAGAACGCTATGTATGTGCGGCTGGAGCATTGATGTACTCGTACCTCTACTCTACAGAAAAACCTGCAGTTGCGGTTACTGAAAAGCGAGAATTGCTAAGAAACTTTAGCACTGCATTATCGTTGTCTTTCGTGTGTTTTATATAAAAAGCGTATTTGTTTATAATTATCCAGATACTGTGAATAAGTGTCTTACGGCAAACGAGCCATGATATTGTCTACGTGCCATGATGCCAGTTTCAAGTGCAGCTGGTGGATGTACATCGGCTGCTCAGTGCTGTTGCAGCTGCAATTATGTGCAGCATGTCCAACATCACCTCAAAGGAAACCATCAGGCCCCGACTGTTAGTACTATTAATTACAATTTTATTCAATTTTATATATGGAAATTAACTGAGTACTGAGTAATAGTCTTACTGTTAGTGACGTGCTAATTTAATCTTTACATAATTATATGCTATCAAATGTACAGTAGTACCTACAATGACCCGCGCCGGTACATAATTTCAAATTCGTGTACATGCACCAAAAGTTTTACTTTTGCGCACCCCCAACTTCTTTGCTTTGTTTTATGACATTCTATATCCAGATGATTTGTATACACAAGCGTGAAAACCGTTTGTGCGCACAACATCCGTTCTTGGGTATATCTGATGTACATAATGAGCGCAAAAAAAAATTCCAAAAAGTCTGTGGCACTGCACTGCATGCACAACAGTTAGCTGTACTACGAGTATGTACGGTATTAATCTAAATTTTTTTTGCCACTCCCTATCGACCATGGCAGCTGAAAATAATTTTTTTAAACATGCTATGGTAGCATACTATCGTCAAGATACATAGATATGTCATATCGTTTTACAAAAGATGAGCTTTTTTTGAATTTACACCCGGAAAATATGCCCTGCTCAGTAAGCGGATATTGCGATGGATATGCGGCGCTCGAAACGTTCATCGTATACGCTGTAAGCCGACAGGACAGCGGTTAACGGGCCGAAGTTAAAAAAATTAGTCGTCCACTGTTCTACATTACAATGTCGATCATATTGATGCACATTGCAACTAACTGGCTCTTTTGGCAGTAACCGCGATGCTAGCGGAGGCCCTGCTCTACAACCGGCAGGACGACCGCATAACACTGACCCAGCTCCCAACGCCGGAGGTGGCTGGCAGGATAGTGTCCCGGCCGCGTTTGGGCGAGAATGTGACGTTCCGGTGCGAAGTGCCGGCCGACACTGACCCGCGCAGTGTGTCCTGGCTGCACCAGGACCGCACCATCTTCGAAGCTGGACAGCCATTGCCGGTGACGGACGGCACGGGACAGGCCTATGACTTTAGCCGCGTCAACCGCACCCTCATCCTGGTGGTCTCCAATGTCACCATGCGTTCCGGAGGCTCCCTGGAATGTATCGCCGCCCCGCCCGGCTCTGCCTACACTCCCCAACGCCACGTCCTACAGCGGTTCATGCTGCTGCCGCTGATCACGCGCCGCGACGAGGTCTTCACACCGTCCGACGGATATGTGACCGCCACCGAGGGCGACATGGTAGCGGTGCCCTTCACTATCCGCCTGCCGCTACCTGAAGCCATTTACATCAATCTGCGAGAACATTTCATTTGGCGCCTCAACGGCCGCGTCGTCCAAGGTCCCACGGAGGAGCCGTACGGGTCCCTGATGCCCACTTCGGGCCTCGCTGTTTACCCTCCGCGTGACCCCAACTCCAACCAGACAGCACCCCCTAACAGCCCCGGACAACTGTTTACCCTGCCTTTTAATTTTTGGGCCGTTACACTGGCCGATGAAGGCACTGTGGAGTGCTTCTTCCGGCCGCACCGGCACATTCATGAGTGGATATTCCAGTCGACGCCGCTGTTGGTTTTTTCCAAGACTCCGCCGTAGCGTGATTGTACGAAATATTGCAACGGCATGGGTCCCGCATTCGCAGGGAAGGAGGGTTCATCTCTACTATAATGCACCAGACTCGGCAGATACGCGCGTTCCGTTCGTAACGTCTTTTTACTGATTTTTTCTTTTAACAACCAAAGTCTGACTCTGACTGTTATTAAGACAACGTGCATGTACATTGTACTCGTTTACCGGGTAGCTGAAGAAAGGCGTAAAACGTGTGAAGCGTAAAGCCGATTTATGGATCAGATAGGTACTGGAGATCAAAATCAACAGCGATCACACTTATTTAACGATAAGTCTGATTTACAACATTTTTTTGAATATATTTTGTGAGTAACGCCCGCCCCTCTATGTACTGTAATGAAAATAAATGTAGACATATTTATAAAATTATACTGGAAAATCTTTTTTAAATGTACATGCGCAACAATTTCGTGCTAATTATCGCATGCGTTCTTAGCTGTCTAATTATACATTTTGATTTATTTCCTTTTGATACCATGTTCCAATTTTGTCAGTCAATGTCCTGTG